AGTACTCGTGCTTACACAGCTCATCAATGGAGCTCTGTGTTGGGGAAAAGAAGGTCACTACACAGTCTGCAAAATAGCCGAGGTCAAAATTGATTCATGTAATTAGATTCTGAGCTCGAACTCTAAAGTTGCTGAAAGCACTGTGATTCATGTAAATTTGATATCTTTGGTACCAAATTAAAGATCGAATTAGCTCTGCAACTGTCACAAATACTCTAGGAGATTACTGTTATGGTGGAGTCTAGATAGATACTAAACCTTTGATTTGGATTGAAAATTTTCTGTAGACAAGGTAGTACCTTTTGTGTTATCTTTGATAATGCCATTTTTAGTCCTCAGAGCTACTTTGAGGAAGAAACTGTAGCTGCGGTGAAGAAACTTCTACCTAAATCAGCTGATGGAGATCTAGCATCTGTTTGCTCATGGCCTGATGAGATTAAGCACCATTGGCAATGGCGATGGACTAGCCCTTTGCACTATGTTGACACACCTGATTACAGATGCAACTACGAGTATTGTCGTCCGTTTATTCTTCCCTCTTCCAATTGCTTACCTGTTTTCATATCCGAAATCCAATCTATATGTTGTGTTTGTGAAGGGGATTGCCATGATACTCATAAGAATCAAGACCGGTGTGTGACAGGAGCTATTTTCAATTACACTATGCAACTTATGTCCGCTTCTGAAAACTCGGATACTACAGTCCACTGTGAGTGATAATATTATAGTGAGTCTGATTCTAAAGCTTCTGTTTGAGTTCTATGGAGCATAGAGTTGTGACTAGTCTTTGTCTGCAGACAACTTGACAGAGGCTCTCATGTTCTTATCACATTTTATTGGAGATATTCACCAGGTAAATCTCTTTGCCATTTAAATGAATCATATCAGAACAAGGTCTGTGTCTGAATTATATGTAATCTACGCAGCCCTTGCATGTTGGTTTTCTGGGAGATGAAGGTGGAAACACGATAACAGTCCGCTGGTACCGTCGCAAAACAAATTTACACCATGTAAGTGTTTGTTATCGAATGCTGAAAGAAAAAGTTATCTTTCCTGATTGGATAAATTATTCTTATGATCTTCCAATGATGAAGGTCTGGGATAACATGATAATTGAGTCTGCTCTTAAAACATACTACAATAAAAGTCTTCCACTCATGATTGAAGCACTTCAAGCCAATCTTACGGTACAATCTTACTTTCTTTATGAAGCTCCAGTGCCAGTATGTTTATAAATCCGTCAACTCACATTGATTGTTTCCTTTAACTGCTATCTTCATATAGAACGACTGGTCAAATGATGTTCCATTGTGGGAGTCATGTCAACTTAACCAAACGGCCTGTCCAAATCCGTAAGCATATATAAATATATCATTTTCTGTCAAGAATCAAGATACCTATATGATTAGTTCTTTGCAGCAATGTTAAACGCAGAAAGATGGATAAAATTTTGTGTAAAGAGATCTAAAAAGTTGATGGATCGCAGAGAAATATGGTTGTAGCTTTCATATTGATTTTCCTAATTACATCATTGTCGAGTCAGTATTGTTTTGGATTCTTTTCAGGTACGCATCTGAAAGCATAAATCTAGCCTGCAAGTATGCTTATAGGAACGCTACCCCAGGGACTACTTTAGGAGGTATACTCTCTCAGCATTGAACTCAAAGTTTCTTGGACATATTAGCTTATCTTTGAACAATCAGTGTATACTCTGAAACAAGATCTTAGCTTTCTTTACCCATACATGTTCATCTCAGTTATAGACTTGTATGCAATACTGTGATCTTCGAGACTTCTCTCGTGTTTGTTCTGCAGATGACTATTTCCTCTCTCGGTTACCCATTGTGGAGAAGAGACTTGCGCAAGGTGGGATACGCTTGGCAGCCACTCTTAACCGTATCTTTTCTTCAAAACCTAAGCATGCTGGATCATGAAACTGAGATAAATATTCCCAAGACCACTCTGTTAGCTCCTTTTTTTTTTTTTTTTTTTTTTTGCACAACTCTGTTAGCTCCTTTAGCTCATGTAATGCTTAGTTTTTGGAGAAGCTATGCTTGCTTACTTGATAAGTTGATATCACCCAACAACCATATATCTTGATATCTTTATTAATAAACACAGTTTTTCAGAAATGTTAAACAGCTGGAAAACTTCCGGTTACTTGCTTGGGTCGAGACTCACTTTAAATGACTCAAGAGTAACTATATACAATTTGAGTAAACAAATATTTATGAACGTGGTGACAAAATAAAAACTATTATTTTTTTGTTTGTTGCTATTCCACCATAATGAATACATAGTACCATCAATGGAAGTATAAGACTATACTCCATGGAGTAGAAAAAGGAAAAATTCAAGGCTCTTTGGCTTCTTCTTTCTTCTCTGCACTTGAATCAGGTTCTCATTGTTTATACACTAAAAAAACCTTTTTTGCTTACTCGGTGTTGAAAAACTGCTTCTCTGTTTTTAACTTTGGAAAGAAAAAAGTAGAAGCTTTTCTCAGAATGGGTTGGTCGTTGAGAATGTGGATTGTGAGTATACTCGTGCTTACACAGCTCGTTAATGGAGCTCTCTGTTGGGGAGACGCTGGTCATTACGCTGTCTGCAAAATAGCTCAGGTTAAAATTTCCTTAACTTACTTTCTAAAGCGTAGCTCTAAATTTATCTTAGTAAATGATCTATGTGAGTATAGATCTGAGAGATTTCGTACTTGAGTGAGTGTTGTAAGATACTTGAATATCAATTTAATACTCTATTGTTAAGACTGAGAGGAAAAAAGGGAGGCTTTTTGTTTTGTTTTGTTTTACTGTTTCATTGAATCTACTAAAAACTCTTCTTTGGACCTTTGTGTGATATCTTGATTAATACCATTTTTCAATCTTTAGAGTTATTTTGAGGAAGATACTGTAGTTTCTGTGAAGAAACTTCTGCCTGAATCTGCAAATGGTGAGCTAGCAGCTGTTTGCTCATGGCCTGATGAAATCAAAAAGCTCCCGCAATGGCGATGGACTAGTGCTTTGCATTTTGCTGATACGCCTGATTACAAATGCAACTATGAGTACTCTCGTGGGTCTTTTATTGATCTTTTCTTTCAAATTTCACTCATGTTTCTGTTTGACGTTGGTATAAAAGTATATGTGCTTTGTTGTCTTTCTGTGAAGGGGACTGTCCTAAAGACTGGTGTGTGACAGGGGCAATCTTCAATTACACTAACCAACTAATGTCTACTTCTGAAAACTCACAGAGTATAGTCCACTGTGAGTTAGAGTTCTAGTGAATTCTGATACTTTTGTGTGTGAGTTATATGAAGCATCATAATAGTGTGACTTGGTGTTTTTTTTTGCTTTGCAGATAACTTAACAGAGGCTCTCATGTTCTTATCACATTATATGGGAGATATCCATCAGGTTAATTGATCCCTTTTTGCAAGTTTAGACTAATCATATTAGACACCAAGTGATGTTCTGAATTATATGCATTTGAGACTACTCTGATTATTGCAGCTGAGATTAATGTATAGGAAACAACATAATATATATGCCTAATCCTTATTGTGGATTTGGATGTTTTCACAGCCTTTACATGAAGGTTTTATTGGAGATCTAGGTGGTAACAAGATAAAAGTTCACTGGTACAATCAGGAAACTAATTTGCACCGTGTAAGCGTTTTGTTGTCGATTATATTGATGCTAAAACGTTAAATTTCTTCTGATTGTCTTGAAAGATCTAAACTTTGGAAGTTACCAAGATAAAGAAAATGTTTTCTTCAATAGTTCTAGTAATCCAACTTGTCAATCCCTTTGAATATGAAGGTGTGGGATGATATGATAATTGAGTCTGCTCTAGAAACATACTACAATTCAAGCCTTCCACGCATGATTCATGAACTTCAAGCCAAACTCAAGGTACAATCTTACTTTCTTTAATCAGCTTCAGCAAGTTATAGTCATATCCAAGATAAAACTCTACTCACATTTGTAACTGCCATCTTCATATAGAACGGCTGGTCAAACGATGTACCTTCATGGGAGTCATGTCAACTTAACCAAACGGCCTGCCCAAATCCGTAAGCATACATAAATTGCTCATATAAATTTTCCTTTCCATTGATTTTAATTGCAAGATTTCGCGGTTGAAGATCTGTAAAAGTTGCTGATCATTAACAGAGTAAAATGGTTTTAGTTATCATATCTTTTTTCTTATATATCACTATTGTTGATTCTGTATGTTCTTGTTGTGTTAAGGTATGCTTCTGAAAGCATTGATCTTGCCTGCAAGTATGCTTACAGGAACGCCACCGCAGGGACTACTTTAGGAGGTATACTTACTCTCTGAGGTTTACAAGATCAATAGTCACTCTGAAACAAAATCTTCTTTAGCTTTCTAATATGCAACAATGCTTTAAAGTTCTTTTTCTCTCATATGTCTTTCTACAGATTACTATTTCGTCTCTCGGTTACCGGTGGTAGAGAAGAGACTTGCACAAGGCGGAATTCGCTTGGCAGGGACTCTTAACCGAATATTTTCTGCAAAACGGAAGCTTGCTAGAGCATGAAAAAAGATCCAGGAGAATCACTTGAACATCCATGAACACTCTTATGTATTAATAATGTGTAATGGTAGTAGTTAAGGTTATGGTTTGGTATTGTTCCTGAGTTTTAACTATAATAAGTATGAAACGAAAACTGTACGTCTACAAGAAAACATAGCATTTGACTTGAAAAATCAAACTTAACTAAACCAAAACCAAGATGTTTGAATTTGAATCGAAAAATGAACTAAAACTAGCATAAAATCTTACTTGTTTTATCATTCATAAACCTGAAAAAAATAGAACCTAAGTGAAACTATAGTTTGAGTGCAAAAACAAAAATCTGATCATTCAAATCGATAAACCGTAAGCCAAAAAATTCGCATCAAGAAAAACACATTTCAATGAAATTACAAAGTTTGATCACGATTCATGATGATAGATATCTTGGAGTCTGACATCCAAAAGAAGAGAAGGAAACAGAGCCAAGGTCAACTTGCCGGACACCAGAATCAGTTAATTAGATTCATTGGTAAAAAAACCCGGCAAGTCATCCTTGGCTCAACCTCATTCTCTATTCTTCCATGCAAGACCCTCTGATACAACTAGAGACTCTCATCATCGTAATCATCATTATCATGTTTTCTCTACCTTTCTTTTCTTGTCTTGTGATCTTGTCATACTCGTGATGAAGGTATTTATAGGCATATTGAAATGGGAAATGTGTGGATTAATTTAATTGAAAATTCATATAATGTTATTATATGCAATAAATCCATGCATGGTTTTAAACTAGTAGTGCATGCAAGCTACAAAATAAAATGGAATTTTGACCACAACCGTATATTGAAGAATATAATTACTTTAAAAGATTGGCTGACCTTATATTATCAAATTCGAATAAGAATTTTATGTGAAAAATATTCGTACTCTGAAGGCATCGACGCATCGTACTAGTGTGACATAAAAATCCACGTGTCGTATGTTTCTTAGGATTGGAATCATAGTCTTGTGTGGGGTTGATCAACAAAAGGTGTTATCGATTGTCGTAGAAACAATTTAGAAAGATTCTTTATAAATAGTCTTTTTAAAAACATTGCCACAAATTTCAAATGTTGCGGATAAAATGGAATATATATTGAAAATTTCAGATTGTCCTTTGGGTTGAGAATATATCATTTGGAGACTCATCACATTGTGAAGGGGGAGTACTAGTAAATAATTTTTTTCCCAAAGCCAATTTTTGCACGAGCTAGTAAATAAATAGTAATACATGTGATCCAAAGCTATTACACACTCTTTATAGCTACTAGAGTTTCGATTTGTGTTATAGCTCCCGATCGATTAATTGGGATAAGCCGGTTTTATTCCATCAACATGAAGCTTCCATAAATTCACTATATCAAATAAATAATTAGGCCAAAATATAGGAAATTAAATAAGACCATTTAAATAGATCTAAGACGGAAGATATTAGGATTGATTATCTTCAAATTATGTTTTCAATTTCATTAGTTAGGATTTAATTACATATAGGAATAGAAAAATTACCATCAAATGGGGAAGATGAGCAATGTTCATATAGGATTATAAACAAGTAAAAAAAAAAAAAAAAATTATTTTTGGGTAAGAAATATATGAGAATTTTGTGCGCGTTCCAAAAACTCTTGTAAATTTTGGCAAGCTTATGAATATTACATAAAGTTTGGTATATAACTGGAAACATATTTATATTACTAAAACTCGTTTAATATTAATTGCTAAAGAAAGAAAACAGGTAACAAAAGCGTTAAAGTTAACTTTGATTCTATTTATTGATAGATCCCATCATTAGATTATGAAATATCGTATCCGATTAGATAAATTCATTACCAACCTTTTTTTCTTTCCTTTTGGTCAACTCTTTCATTTTAAACATATTGAATGTTAAGTGGGATTGCTAACATAAAATAGTAAAACTTTTTTTACTATAGGACAACGATCCAATTCCAAGCTAAAGATTGATATATAACTAGAAATGGTATTTAAGAGCTTATGACTAACACTAGAGACCCCATCTAAGCCCATAAAATGAGGTTATCTAAGCAAGTTATGTCTCACGTAATGATCATTATTGGGCTTTATGGGTAATCTATCCCGTTACTCCAAATCTAGTTCAGCTGCCACGTCACTCTAACTAACTCGTTGGAGGGGAAAGAGTGATATTGAAGCAAACAAGAACAACGACGATTATGGGTTTTGGGGTTTTATCCATTTCTTTGTCTAATTTTATCAGATTTTGTCTAGATTTTTGGATCCAAATTATTAGCGGAAATCGAAATTGGGTTTTACGGTTAAATCTCGTTCTTGAAAGCTTCCCTTCCATGGGGCTTTTTATCTGGACTTAAAAGCTTGTGCTAGTCTCACTTGATACTAATGTAAAGGAAGGAGCTTTGGAATGCTTAATTGGCAAGTGACTAGTGGCACAACTGTCAGTTTATATATTTTGATTAAACAAATCAAACGTGGGTCTGTGGATGGGCAATAAACAACAACATAAATTGAAGAATATCATCACCCCAAATGGTCAATGGATAGATTAGAGAAATAGAAAAATCAAAAGAAGCTTTGGCAAAGAGCTAAAGATCAAAGCTTTTCTTTGAGGTAATTCGTTTGACTCTTTTTTTTTTTTTTGCTTGAATCGTGTTGTTCTCTTTGTTCTGCTAGAGATTTGATCTGTAAATTATGTGATTTATTAAGAAATTGAAAGCTCTGTGTTTCAGAATGAGATTGTGGATTGTGAGTGTACTCGTGCTTACACACCTTGTCCTTGGAGCTCTCTGTTGGGGGAAGGATGGTCACTACACTGTTTGCAAATTAGCTGAGGTGACTTTTCTTGATTAGTTTCTGAGATGTTACACTCTAAGATGAACTCTGTGAAAGTGTTGTAAGATACTTGAAGATTGATTTAGCTTTAGAGAACTGTGAAAACAAAAATGCATCTAGGAGCTTTCTTTATTAGTTAGGATGGAGAATAAATGTGGTTTAATCGGCGTTTCATCGAATTTCTTTGAGATTGGATCATGCTTTAGACTGAAAAGGTATTAGCTTTGTTGATAAGATGATTTCAATTTCCAAATCCTCAGGGATTCTTTGAGGATGATACTATTGCTGCAGTGAAGAAACTTCTGCCTGAATCAGTTGATGGTGGTGGACTAGCAGATTTTTGCTCATGGCCTGATGAAATTAAAAAACTCTCGCAATGGCAATGGACTAGCACTTTGCACTATGTTAACACACCTGAATACAGGTGCAACTACGAGTATTGCCGTGGGTTATCTTTTCCTCCAGCTTCATACATGTTTCTGTTCTGTTTCTGCTTCCATTGGCTATGTATTTTCTAAGTTCAACTCTATGTCCTTTTGTGTTTTGTGAAGGGGACTGCCATGACACTCATAAGCATAAGGACTGGTGTGTGACAGGAGCGATCTTCAATTACACAAACCAGTTAATGTCTGCTTCTGAAAACTCACAGAATATAGTCCACTGTGAGTTAGATTTTAAGTGAATCTGATACTTCTTTTAATGTTTCAGTTTACTGATTTCTGTGTGAGTACATCGATCATAATAGTGTGACTTAGAAGTCTTTTTCTTTCTGTTCTTGGCAGACAACTTGACAGAGGCTCTCTTGTTCTTGTCACATTATATGGGAGATGTTCATCAGGTTAGTCCTTTTTGCAAATTCAGTCGAATCATAATATTACAAACAAATGCTGTCAGAGTTATATGCATTTGAGGCTACTACTCTATCTACTCTGGACTCTGGAGGTTTGATTAGTGTATAGTAGCAACACAAGAGTATGGCTAATCTTTATGTGGATTATGATTTTCGCAGCCCTTGCATACTGCTTTTCTTGGAGATCTAGGTGGTAACACAATAATAGTCAACTGGTACCATAACAAATCAAATTTGCACCATGTAAGTGCTTTGTTTTTTAGTCATATTGATGCTAAAAAGTATCTTTCCTGACACGGAAGTGGAACGATCTTAACTTGAAGGTCTGGGACAACATGATAATTGACTCTGCTCTAGAAACATACTACAATTCAAGCCTTCCACACATGATTCAAGCTCTTCAAGCCAAACTCAAGGTACAATCTTGCCTTCTCTAATCAGCTTCAGCAAGTTATAGCCGTATCCAAGATAAACACAACTTACATTGAGTGTTTGTTGTTACGTCTGTCTTAATATAGAACGGCTGGTCGAATGATGTTCCGTCGTGGAAGTCATGTCACTTTCACCAAAAGGCCTGTCCAAATCTGTAAGCAAGCATCTATATATCTGTTAAGTTGCTTAATAGCAGAGAAAACTTAGTTTTCGTTACCATATCATTGTTGATTCTCTTTGTTCTTTGATGTGTTAAAGGTATGCTTCTGAAAGCATTGATCTCGCCTGCAAGTATGCTTACAGGAACGCTACTCCGGGGACTACTTTAGGAGGTATACTTACTCTATGAAACCAGATCGTGGCTTTTTGTTTTCTTTAATCATGGACATGACTTGATCTTCTGCTTTCTCTGCAGATGAGTATTTCCTTTCTCGGTTACCCGTTGTAGAGAAGAGACTTGCACAAGGTGGGATTCGCTTGGCAGCTACTCTTAATCGTATCTTTTCTGCAAAACCGAAGCTCGCAGGATTATGAATCTAAGAAAAAGATCCTTGAGAACCCACGTAACAACTCTTTTTAAGTGTTTTTTATAACACTGTGAATGGTTGAGTCATGACTAATGAGTGAACCTCCAAAATCTTCATGCAAAAATTTGTTATTTTGGGACATGGTTCAAACTTCCAATAACAAACCACACTAACGGATAACACTTTGCATTTTTTTTGTTTGTTTTCAGTTTTGTTAATTAGTATCCTTCTTCTTATCTTATGAAAAAGGTAAGTTAACATAAAGGAGTAAAATAGAAAAAGAAGTTAGATTTCCTCATTAGATTAGGAATGATAATTCGCTATATAAAGATTTCAAGTGAGACATAAAAAGCCTAAGCGCAAAACACACAATAAAGAGTTTCTTACGTGAAAAGCTACTTAAACCCTAAAAGAGAGAGAGAAAAAAAAAGCAAAGCCGACACAGCTAGCGCTCTCGGGTGCACTTCCACAGCAATGAACGGAGAAGAGCCACCTTTTAAAAGAAGACGGATGAATTTTCTTATGCTTCCTGATGATTTGGTTTTAAACTGTTTAATTTGGCCCGCATCTCAAGATTGTACTATCCAACTTTCTCTTTAGTATCCAAGAGATTCCGCTCTATCCTTACTTCAACGGAGCTTTACCAGACCCAAACTCTCTTAGGCCGCACCGAGAGTTGTTTGTACGTGTGCTTAACGCAGATTACATATGACGCTTCTAACCCACAATTAATTTGGTTCACTCTTTGCCGCAACCCAAATAGCTCAAAAAAGATTTTAATCCCAATTTCATATCCTAAATCTGCATCATGGTCGGATAGTGTAGTGGCTGTTGGTCCTAATATCTACGCTATTGGGGGATTCAGTAATAATAGAACTAAACCTTCGTCTAGCGTCATGG